ACAGATGGTAGGAAAGAAGCCTAGGCCTGCTAACCAGAAGGAGGAAAGTGAAAAAGAATAGCAATCAGCAAAGCACGTGATAAAACGAAGGAAGGAGACAGGAAGAGGAGCAAATGGTAATATGCAGTTAAAGAGATAAATAAGTACCAGTAGAGAGACACATCAGGAACAAGGAACCCTTAGATACGCACTGAAAATAGCACCGGAAAGAGACAGCTTAACATATCATGAATAAGAAGTGAAAAACTATTTTGGCCCAAAGTGATCTTGTTTCAGCCATGCAAGGGCAAGTGGAAGAAGATCAGGATCCGTCATGTACAAGGTGCTTGAGGGTACACTCCCTGCCCCGTGGCATTCAGTACACAAAATATTATGGCACGGCCAGCGGGAGACCCAAGTCCAGTGCCAAATGGAGGTATGTAACGCAGGGGCATGTGACCAATGTTCCTTTGGAGATCGAACCTTGGAGTAGAAAACAATGTTTATATATATATTATATATATATATATATACATATACAATATATATATATATATATAATATATATATATATATATATATACACACACACACTATATATATATAGTTAATTATATAATAGTTATACTATATATATAGTATATATATATATAAATATAGATACGAATACACATAGAGATATAGATATATATATCGATAATAATATAAATATATATATATATATAGGTATATAGATTACAGTTAGTATATAAATAATATATAGATTGATTATATAGTATAATAGATTGATAGATCTATTGGATAGATATGTATATCTATATATATATACATATATACATATTGATAGAGTGTATGTGCGTGTGCGTGTGTGTGTGTAATGTGTGTGTGAGTGTGTGAGTGCGAATGCGCGCGCGTGTGTGTGTGTGTTGTGGTGTGTGTGTGTGTGTGTGTGTGTGGTTGTGTGTGTGTGTGTGTGTGTGTGTGTGTGTGTGTGTGTGTGTGTGTGTGTGTGTGTGTAGATTTATCTGATATATATAACTGATGTGTATATATATATATGAATATATATTAAGTATATGAATTAAATAATATATATATATATGATATATATATATATATATATATAATATATATTATATATATATATATATCCTGGACTCGATCGGCCGGTCACTCCAAGAACGCTGAACAGTGCCAGATGACTCCAGTCAGCTGCTCGGCCGCCTTGCCATGCGCCATACAGCGGCGGCAGACAATAAAAGCCAAAAGGCAGACGTGTCCCACAACCGAACCAGCGAGCAACAGGGTGAAACTGCTCCCCCAAGCACTTCAGTCTCGGAATTCTCACTCAAGAGGGTGACGCCAAGAATAGTCGCCGTTAATGACATCTCTCGCCATTCTGCGGATGCCTCATGACATGACTGGCTGGGAGGCGCCAACGTGCAGAAGCGAAGGGCCTTTGGCTAATACCACAACCATTCCCAGTGATGTAGCTCGAGACACATACCCAGCGTATATATATACATACATGGCCATCGCCAGTGCTATGATTAGCGTCATAATTAGTATTATAATTAGTTCCTACGGTTTGTATTGCATTTTTCCTATGGCCGTTGAGACATCACCTCTTTTTCTTTTCTCCTTTCCTCGAAGCATTACTCTAAGCACTTCCATTAGGTTCATACCCTGAGGACATGAATATGGGGATAAATAATGAGTGGATATTATAAAACAAATACAGTTACAAACAAACGTCGACGGCCTCGACATCCCATTAAAAACGGCCGGCTCAAGACAATGAACTTAACTACCGAAAACACGGATTTTTTCGTGAGTGCGATACATATACATATAAATGAATATATGTATGTATCTATGTAAGGATGTATGCATACACACATATAAGCACACAAACACACACACATAAACCAACACACAGACACACATACACACAAACACACAAACACACGCACAAATATTTACATTACATTATTTTATACACACAAGCATATATATATATGTGTATATATATGTTATTTATATATATATATATAAATTTATATATAAATATATATATATATATATATACATACATACATATATATATATATATATAATATATATATATATATATATATATAAACATAGATGTTCTTATATAACATATATATCATACTTACAAATATATATAATCATAATAGATACAACTATAAATGTAAATGTATAAACACATACCCAAACACACACACACATATATATACATTTATACACATACATATATAGACATACATACATATGTGTGTATGTGTGTGTGTGTGTGTGTGTGTGTGTGTGTGTGTGTGTGTGTGTGTGTGTGTGTGGTGTGTGTGTGTGTGTGCGTGTGCGTGTGCGTGTACATACATACATACAATACACACACACACACACACACACACACACACACACACACACACACACACACACACACACACACACACACACAACACACACACAGCAACACAAACCACACCACACACATACACTACATACACATATATATATATATACTGATATATATTTATATATATATATATATATATATATATAGTGATAGGTGATATATAGTTATATATATATATATATTAATTTATAATAATATATATAGTAGAGAGAGAGAGAGAGAGAGAGGAGAGAGAGAGAGGAGAGAGAGAGAGATGTATAACTATATGATATATATAGTACTATATGTATACTATATTAGTATTAATATGCTCAAAAATACATACATATATATTATAATATATCTATATAGTATATATAGTATATATATAAAATATATAGATATAGAGAGTAATATATAGTGTATATTATTAAATATAATATATTATATATATAATATATATATATACTATATATATAATATATATAATAATATATCA